GAGAGGTGTTGTTTGAAGAGATCTTGAAGGAGAAGTGGCTTGGATCAAAGGGCTTTGCTTGGATTCGAGTTTGGCTGCTATTGAGGCATCTTTTGGAGGTAATATCTTCGTCCTTAGGCTGTGCATTCCTAGTTTCATCATTTTGGGGTTTGTGGGGAGTATGTCTTGGAATGTTTTGGAGTTTGGAGGATAGATCTGAGGTTGCTACCTCAGATCTGGAATATTAAAGGCCTAGAGTGCATTAAAGCTCCTGTGTTTGAGTGCTTAGTGAAGCCACCATGTCCCAAACCTTGGTTTTAAGTTGAATATGGCTTAGATCTCGTTAGATTCACGTAAAGTTTGCCACTTTACGTGATGAATGGATTGTAGGAGGTTGGATCTATGTTTTGGATCAATTGCATTGCCTGAGATACTTCTGTATGGATTCAGACCGGTGGTACTCGACGAGTCACATAGGTGGACTCGACGAGTTGCTTGAAGATGGCCTGGGACTCGACGAGTTGGAAGAACAACTCGGCGAGTAGGTTGAAGATGGCCTTAGACTCGACGAGTCCATTTGGACTCGGCGAGTCTTGTCGAGGAAGTCCCAATATTTCTGGTTGAGTCGATGAATCGGTGAGTCAAGGGATGACTCGGTGAGTTGGGTGCGAGTGGACTCAGAGTTGTTGGACTCGACGAGTCTTGGGGTGACTCGGCGAGTTGGGTCGCTAATTGAGGGAAGTTCTGAGCATAAGGACTCGGCGAGTCATCGGGATGACTCGGCGAGTAGGGTCAGTCAGGGGTTGACTTTGACTCGTCCAAGGTTGACCAGTTGTCTTCCAGGGGTATTTTTGTAATTAAGGGTATTTATTGAGTTGTATGTTTTGATGTTTAGTGGAGGAGTTCGTGTCAGAGTTCGGAGCAGCGGGATCTTATCCTTTCAGCCGGCAGTTTCGAGGTGAGTTATCCTCACTATATCAACAGGGTCTAAGGCACCAAGGCCGGCCCTTTATTGTATTGAGATTCGGTTATGGTTATTATGTTATTGTTTGATGTGTCTACATCCTGGTAGCTAGGATGGTACATGCTAGGAGGCCTTGCTAAGGTCAGTTTTCCCGATATACAGAGTGATGCTATGTAACAACCGTAAAATTTAGATCAAAAGTGGTCGATAAATTCGTGTGACGCTGCTAGAACCAAACCAAATTTATGTTTCGTCATTATGTATTTAACATATTTAAAAGATATTATAACAGTTAATCGATTATAAACATATGAAAAATAAATTTATGCGATGTGTAGCAATGAGTGCATGAAATTAACGTAATATGAACATAGCATGTATATATGATTTACTATGTCCAATATAAAATATATATAAGTTGAATTTTTAGCTAACATACAAAAAAATACTTAACTTCCGTATTTATACATTTATGTATATCATAAAATGATGAGTATATATTATACGTATATATACTTGATACCAAGTGACATAAACTTATTCTCAAATGTATATACATACAATAAAACAAATAGTTCATGAAGTTATTTTGCAACAATTAGTGCAAGAAATTGATATAGCAGATTATACCCACTCACACCCCTCTTGTTGATGGCTATCACACACAATATAAAAATACACATACAAATATCTTGCGCAAGAATGGAGCAAATCTTTATTAAATTTCCATTGGATTATATGGCCCACACCAATATTATAAGTCTTAAAAATCAGGAAGATGATTCCCTAGTACTACTACAATTCGTCACCCTCTACCCTCTCTATCCCTCTCATCTCTCTATCAACTACAAGCTCACAGATACAACATGTACTCAATATCTATGAGAACTGTGTCAAGTACTTCAATATCTTCTATAATCTGCATTAGTACAATGAGCCATGTGAAGAAACCTAATCAAATATCTCAAGGACGATACAGTTTCTCATCCACCACCTCACTCATCTTCCTTCCCTCTCACGATTGCCCTAAACTACACACACAATTCAGCACATGTGCATATCCTTCATGAATCTCGATTGTAAAATTCAATCTCTGCCAAAATCCACAGCTGTAAAAGAGATGTAGAGAAGCTTCATAATATCTCATTCCTATTTGAAGGCCCCACTCATTTTCTATCACCTGCCCATACCTCTTACTTCCATATCTTCTCCAATAAACAGAGAAGAGATTCAACAGCTATTAGAATTGTTTTCCCCATCTCAAACCCAGTTCCTTGTACCTTCTCTTTCTCCAATGGAAAACCAACCCAAAAGCTCCCTGATCACCACCGATTCCAGTTGAAGCAAACCCCTGACCATAAACAGGCCTGTAGCCGCAGCTTACCAGTGAAAAAGAAGCAGCGACTACTTCCATTCTCCCCTCCTGCCTTCATTTGTTCGACTATCAAACAGCTTCCGCACATCTTTTCCTTGCTCCTCCATCGACCTCAGGTAAATTCCTTACCTTCTCTGATCAAAATTCATCCAGCAACCACCGTGAACATTAGGCACCTGCCATGGTGCCCGGTGGCCTGAACAGTTCTAACCGGACGATCCCGTTGGCGGGTTTGGTTTTAGTCAAGTGTGTAAAATTCCTGATTCCATTATTTTTCTGCCATGTGACGTCTAGGTCGACTCCAAGACTCCCGTTCCAAATCCCGCTTAGAACAGGAGCTTCCCGACACTTCCGACTCTCAAAATCAACGTGAGTTCTATGGCCCCTCATTTCTGATTTCATTGTTTGGGGGAGAATACATGTTTTATTGGTCAATATTTGATAACCAAAATGGATTTAAACAAACGATTTTGGATTATATAAATTGCTATAGATGGTGTATGAATACGTATGAAGAGAGTTGACGAATTAATATGGCATTGAGTTTAGAAACCATGGTTATAAACAAGTGCAGGAAATGTAAATACATATATATAAATATTCCGTGTAGCTTTTTCTGAAAATTTATGATAACTAAAGTGATATAAATACTTATACAAAAGTGTATATATATATATATGAAAAGGAAATAAACTTAAAAATACACCTGGAGGATTAAATGGTCATAGTTATATTATACTAATACCTTAGAATTTCTAATATGTGTAATAACTATTAAGGACTTTGGATCGTATTAAAACAATAATCATGTTAAACTTAACATGATATAAACTTAAGTGAATAATTATATATAGACATCAGTTTTAGTAAATTATGGAGTTAACCCTAGTATGTTAAAGGTTAATGTGGTTTGGTTACGTCATAAAAGTTGGTATAAAAGTCGTTAGAAATAAATACTTATCGAGTATTACATTTAAAGACTTTATCATTATTCCAAAATTTGAACGTATTAAAAATAACTTCGCATGGGTTATATAAAAGATGGGGAATGTAGGTTCCCGGTCGATCCAAACTTGGATAAATAAATAAAAATTAACTATTATGTTAACACGATATCAAATTCGTATCTGGAATAATAAATTCTTGTAGTTTTAAGAATTCCGAGTATCGTTTTCTTAAACGACGAATAACTTTGTGTTTCTAGTGAATTTAGAATGAACAACATAGGTTCATTATACCTATCGTTTGTGGGTTTATTATACCAATTCTGCATAGGTTCATTATACCTATTCTTTGTGGATTCATCATACCCATTCCGCATAGGTTCATTATACTTATTCTTTGAGGGTTTATTATACCCATTCCAAATAGGTTCATTATACCTATTACAAATATCGAACCCAATCCGTTCGAGCATTCATATCCGGTTTCGCAAAGGCTAAGTTCACAATACTTAGTAGAGACCTTCCGTCAAATAACCGTTAATCCTTGAGGGAACGACTAACGCTAGGTATAAGTGTCATAACATTGATCTTATACGGTATGACCGCCCGCCTGGAGTTGCTAGCTACAACTACGTCTGACGAGATGAATTTTGGCGTTGGCGTTAGTATTATCGAACATTACCCCGCGTTATTACGGGGTGAATGACTTTAGCACGCGCGCCCTATCATGGTGTCGGTGCAATAATAAAGTTTAGTGTCAAGAGTTCGGTTATGACATCATCTAATATTCCTTCGTTCTTAAATCAATAAAAACGACCACCGACAATATAATTATCATATGGAAATTGACAAAGAGAGATTTCTACTAAGTTGTTTCAACACATGCAACAGTAAAATAATAATTTCTGGTGAATTGACAAATTATCTTTTGAAAGGGGCAAAGATTTCTATCTCAACATTAAATTATTTTTTTTATGGAGACCTTTTGTTATTTTAAGAATATATGGAGTCAAAACCTGTAGGACTCACCAACATTATTGTTGACGTATTTTAACATGTATTCTCAGGAAATTAAAGCAAGAAATTCACGCGAGGAGTATGGAATCATCGTCTTATATTTTTGTTCTAAATTATGTTTTATGTCCTCTTTTTGAATCGTTGAAGATTTGTCATGAAACATGTAACAAAGTAAGATATGATTATGTCGTATGCGATGTAAAACTTTATGTGGTTGTTTAATGTTTGATATATGCTATGTTTGTGATATTCGAATTTCGTCACCCACCCGGTGTTTCCGCCATTGGCTGGGGGTGTGACAGATTGGTATCAGAGCCTTAGCTATAGCGAACTAGTATTTCACATTAAGATATACAACTATAGCCTAGGGCATGATTTCTCTAATAAAGAGTTAATTTACTGAACATGTAAATACCTAAGTATTATAGTAGTTAAAATGAGAATAATTACCTAAAACAATCAATAAAAGGAACTTAAAAACCTAAAATTTTATATCAAAAACTTCGCTAAAGTTTTATGGTATATATGTCATGCCACAACTAAACCTAGCTCGCGCACCTAAGTTTTATTATGGACCGGTCAAATGCACCATTTAACTTAGGCATAGTGGTTGATACATTAAAATTTTGGAGATTATGTGTCATAAGGAAAGATATGGGTGTCGGTAACAAATTACATGAATAAACAATTAAATATTAATAACTCTATTTCTATTGTATAGATGAATACCTGGAGAAACAAGGAAGGAGTCCCATGCTCACCCCCCCATCTGGTCGGGGACCCCTACTATCCCGATCAAGAAACAAAATATCAATTCGTCGCATCAGGAAACTCTACAGAAGACGAAGAACCAATGGAAGACCCATTGGAAGAAGAGGCAATAGAAGAAGAAAAATCTGACACAGAGGATGAAGAACCCATGGAGGCCGAAAGGACCCCTACCTCCAGGCCCTCCCCTCCAAGCCCTTACAGGGGTATTCTAAGAGGTGTTAGAAAAACCCGTCAGACTGCCAGGAAAAGCACCCTCAACCACAAAGGAATTCAGAAACATGGTCACGCACTGTCTGAGAGCATGAGGAAGAACCTAAGAAATCCATCCTGGTTGAACGCATTTGCGGAAGAAAGAATTTCGGGAGAGAGAATCACCACCCGATATGAAGACGGGCAAGGCTCGGGAGTGCGTCCCCTGCCCAATGATCACGTTGGATCTTTAAGTGGATTGTTCGACCATGTCTTGAAATTGGAGAAGCAGGCTAGGGTATCGGCAAGGGAAATCAAAGAAGGTGAAAATAACACAACTCATCTAGCCTGGAGAGCAGGAAGACTAGAGACTCAGCTAACCCAACATCAGAATGCACTAACAGAGATGCGGGGGTTGCTTGACGCGGAAATCGCTACTAGGATGCAGCAAGATACCCTCATGGTTGAGGCGGATCTTCAAGCTCAAGCGACTCTTATTAGGGTAGGGGTTAGTGAAGAAGAAATTATGACCATAAACGGGAGGCTAGATGCAATCGGAGTTCAACTTGCGGAAGTTACCAGGGCATTAGGGACTTACCTACGACAAGGATGAGTTGGAAGAGCCAGATAGTGACAAGGTGGTGACAGATGTGGTAGTAGAAGACCATCTAGGATTATATATATTAAGCATGTAATGTTTGGTATTATCATGGTTTTGGGAAAGTACGTTATAACAGGGTGCAAAACTCGTTGCAATTTTTGGGTCTTTTGACCATTGATGTAATAATTAGTAGAACTTTTGCTTCCCAAAAACCTTACGAAAGTTAATGTAATGATGTGTGTAATGTCACTATGTATGATATATTGAAGCATATTATGCATATTTTCTTCGTTATCAATTTAATGCGTAAATTTTATAATTGGTAAAATTCCCAAATAATGCAATAAGTTTTATCGAAAAGTGAAAAAGTAATATTGAAAATTTCCATATAGCACGACACAATCAACTAATGTGTTATTGTTAAATATAATAGGGAGTTAAGTAACATGTCACAAAGAAGAAGAAGCACAAGGTTGCACCCAAATCTGGCGGCTATTCCCGAAAGAACAGTCGGGAGGCCCAGAAGGGTACAATCCAGGCCAAGTGAAATACCCATCGCACCTGAAGCTGGGCTGCCTACAACCGCGGCAGAGTTAGAACAATTGATAGCGGATCGACTTGCGGTTGCTCTGACACAACCGGAAAATGTTCGCAATGCCATCTCTGGAGCGGGTAATGGTGGAAATGGTAATGGACAAGGCAGCAGTTCTCAAGGAGATATCCGAGGACCACATCGAACGTGTAGCTATAAGGATTTCAATAATTGCAAACCCAAGAATTTTTATGGGACAGAAGGCATTATCGGACTAACCAGGTGGATCGAAAAGATGGAATCCGTATTTCAAATATGCTTCTGTCCCGATGATAGTAAAGTTCGATTCGCTGTGAGTACGTTTATGGACTCAGCCCTTACTAGGTGGAATGACCAAGTAAAAACTCTGGGCATTATTCCTGCAAACTCTTTATCGTGGGAAGAACTGAAAATGATGATAAAGGAAGAATATTGCCCGAGAGATGAGATTCAAGCGATGGAGCAAGAATTATGGAATTTGAGGATGAAAGGCCTTGACATCAAAGCTTATACGACCAGGTTCAACGACCTCGCGCTATTATGCCCAACTCTAGTAACCCCAGAATACAAGAAGATAGAGCGTTACATTTGGGGTTTGGTGCCACAAATAAGGGGAATAGTGTTGGGCTCACGATCAACAACTTATGAAAGTGTCAGGAACTTGGCAAGTCGATTAGTCAAGAATGAACTCAGTCGGGGAACAACAAATACTAAGGTTGAAGCACCCAAGATTGAAAATAATAAGCGCAAGATGGGAGGCAAGGATTCTTGGCAATCGTCAAGGAAGAAACAAGGAACTGGAACTGGATACGCAGTGACAATGGCAACCAATCCAGCACCAGTTCACCGAACAAGCAGTACTGGACGGTACCCTCAATGCAACAAATGTCGCAAATATCATCCTGGCGAATGTTATTATTGTACCAAGTGTAACAAGAATGGACATACCAACAAATATTGCAAAGACTCAAGGCCTATTGCAAGAGGTACTCAGGTGAATGTAGGGTCAATCGGAAATAGTAGTGGAAATTGTTATGAGTGTGGTGGATCAGGGCATTACAAGCGTAACTGCCCAAAATTAAGAAATGTGGGTGGCACTGCACGTGGACGGGCATTCATTATTGGAAACAAGGAAGCAATCTTAGATCCCTCGGTGGTTACTGGTACGTTCCTTATCAACCACCTATATGCTACAGTTTTGTTTGACTCCGGAGCCGATAAGAGTTTTATAACAACGACATTTAAGGAATTATTAAACCATGAAACTAGAAAATTAGATGTAGCTTACAAAGTAGAAGTAGCAAATGGTCAAATAGAACGTACAACTGAAATCTTAAGAAATTGTACCCTAACGCTTAACGATCGTACTTTTCAAGTCGACCTCATGCCAATGTCAATCGGAAGCTTCGACGTTATTATTGGTATGGATTGGCTTTCTCATCACCATGCGGAAATCATGTGTTACGAAAAAGCAGTCAGGCTAACCTTACCAGATGGAGAGACTCTGACCATCTATGGTGACAAGTCGGGTCAGAACTTCAAGCTCATGTCTTGCATAAAAGCACGGAAATATCTGTACAAGAAGTATTACGCCTTCCTAGCTCACGTAGTAGATAAGAAGTGTAAAGTGAAAGAAATTCAGGATATACCACAGGTATGCAATTATCCTGACGTTTTCCCAGAAGAACTACCAGGATTGCCACCAGCCAGACAGGTCGAGTTCAGAATTGACCTAATCCCCGGAGCAGCTCCAGTAGCTAGAGCACCCTATAGGCTAGCCCCATCTAAAATGCAGGAACTCTCGAGCCAACTACAAGAACTCCTTGACAAGGGCTTCATTAGACCAAGTTTTTCTCCTTGGGGAGCGCCAGTATTATTTGTTAAAAAGAAAGATGGGTCCTTCCGGATGTGTATAGACTATAGAGAACTAAACAAATTAACCATCAAGAACCGATATCCCCTTCCTAGAATCGATGATTTGTTTGATCAACTCCAAGGATCTAACTACTATTCAAAGATCGATCTGAGGTCTGGATATCATCAGCTCAAGATACTAGACGAAGACGTACCAAAGACTGCATTCAGGACCCGGTACGGTCATTATGAATTTCTAGTGATGCCATTCGGATTGACAAACGCTCCAGCAGTATTCATGGATCTCATGAATAGAGTCTGCAAGCCATATTTGGACAAGTTTGTGATAGTATTTATAGATGACATTTTGATCTATTCTCGAACTAAGGAGGAGCATGGTCGACATCTACAATTAATCTTGGAACTTTTGAGGAAAGAGAAGTTGTATGCCAAATTCTCTAAATGCGAATTTTGGATCAGACAAGTACATTTTCTAGGACATGTGGTGAGCAATGAAGGAATTCATGTAGATCCCACAAAAATTGAAGCAGTAAAGAATTGGAAGGTGCCAAAGACGCCAACAGAGGTGCGCCAATTTTTAGGCCTTGCCGGCTACTACCGAAGATTTATTGAAAACTTCTCAAAAATTGCAAAACCACTTACCACTCTAACTCAAAAGGATCGAAAGTTTGAATAGGGAGTTCAACAAGAAATTGCATTTCAAAAACTAAAATAGAAGTTGTGTAGTGCACCGATCCTATCCCTGCCTGAAGGAACAGAAGATTTCGTAGTGTATTGTGATGCGTCGATTCAGGGACTAGGATGTGTGTTAATGCAACGAGACAAGGTTATCGCATACGCCTCTAGACAACTCAAGACTCATGAAAGCAACTATACAACCCACGACCTGGAGTTGGGAGCAGTAGTTTTTGCATTAAAGATATGGAGACATTATTTATACGGAACAAAGTGCATTATTTACTCGGATCATAAGAGTCTTCAACACATTTTTGATCAAAAAGAGTTAAACATGAGGCAGCGAAGGTGGATAGAATTGCTAAGTGATTATGAATGCGAAATTCGATATCACCCAGGAAAGGCAAATGTAGTCGCAGATGCATTGAGTCGTAAGGGAAATATCAAACCTCGTCGGGTGCGAGCTCTGACAATGACGATCATCTCAAACCTTGTCAACCAGATTCAATTAGCTCAGCTCGAAGCTCTGAAGGAAGAAAATGTCGCAGACGAATCATTAAGAGGAATGGAAAAGCAACTCGAACTAAGAAATGACGGAACCCGACATTTTATGAACAGAATTTGGATACCGAAGTTTGGTGATATCCGCAACTTGGTCATGGATGAAGCTCATAAAACAAGGTACTCTGTTCATCCGGGATCAGACAAGATGTATTTAGATTTGAAGAAGTTGTATTGGTGGCCAAACATGAAAGCCGAGATCGCCACATATGTGAACAAATGCTTAACCTGTGCTAAAGTGAAAGCAGAACACCAGAAGCCATCAGGATTGCTCCAACAACCGGAAATTCCTGAGTGGAAGTGGGAGCAGATTGCAATGGATTTCATTACAAAACTACCAAGAACACCTAGTGGTTATGACACCATCTGGGTAGTGGTCGACAGATTGACGAAGTCCGCTCACTTTTTACCAATTAAGGAGACTGATAAAATGGAGAGACTGACAAGGACTTATCTCAAGGAGATTGTTAGACTTCACGGAATACCCATCTCTATCATCTCTGACAGGGATAGTAGGTTCACTTCGAGATTTTGGCAATCATTACAAAAATCCTTAGGGACTCGTCTGGATATGAGCACCGCTTACCATCCACAAACCGACGGTCAAAGCGAGAGAACGATCCAAACCTTAGAGGATATGTTGCGATCTTGTGTGATTGATTTTGGAAATACATGGGATACTCACCTGCCACTCATTGAATTCTCCTACAATAACAGTTATCATACCAGCATAAAGGCTGCACCATTCGAGGCTCTCTACGGGCGAAAGTGTAGATCACCGTTGTGTTGGGCAGAAGTAGGAGATACTCAGTTAGCCACGGAACGCACGAGCAACACGCTTCGCACCGGGCCGGAAATAATTCATGAAACCACTGAAAAGATAATCCAAATTAAAGAAAAACTCAAAGTTGCCCGTGACCGTCAGAAGAGTTATGCAGATGTAAGAAGAAAGCCACTAAAATTTCAAGTGGGAGATAGATTCATGCTCAAAGTCTCGCCATGGAAGGGCATGATACGTTTTGGGAAAAGGGGAAAATTAAACCCACGGTATATAGGGCCATTTGAAATTATCAATAGGGTCGGTCCGGTAGCATACCAACTCAAACTACCTCAAGAGCTGAGTAACGTGCATAATGTGTTTCATGTTTCAAATCTTAAAAAGTGTATGTCCGACGAAAACCTTACGATACCGTTAGACGAGATCCAACTAAACACCAAACTCCACTTCGTCGAAGAACTCGTAGAGATTATGGACCGAGAAGTGAAACGTTTAAAACAAAGTCGCATCCCTATCGTTAAAGTTCGTTGGAACTCAAAAAGGGGGGCAGAG